GTAACAGTTGCAGATTACGGTAACATGTTTCTTGACCACCTGAGGGAACGCAGTATTTGTATAAGTTGTATACAGTGTGGTGCTCTGTGCATTCATTCAAAAATTTCCCATCAGCCCTGTGAACGGCTGCTTTAACTGTTTGCTAAAATCGAATCTCTGCAGGACCCAAGTAAAAAGTTCAAAGGCGACGTGATGGACCTTCGCCTGGATATTGAAAGACGTAAGAGGTTTGCTGGGAAGGAGCGCGACTTCAAGCGTGAAGGGGCCAGGAGCCCGGGAGGCTCCCAGGGACTGAGTAGAGAGAGGTCCTCTGAGAAATCTGGGAAGCACCACAAGAAATCCAAGTTTGTTGTTATTTATTTGACACAGATTCATAACAGCAGTATCAGTATATCCACTGATTCATAACTTAGTTTTAATGACGCACGTCCTTTATTTTTTGTCACCTGCCTTACAGGAAGGGTAAGAAGAAGCGGGATCGCTCTCCTTCCTCTTCTTCCTCCTCATCCTCCCAGTCCCCTTATCCTCCGCCATTCCGAGGCAAAGAATACATGGGGGAAGGGATGGAGCACCCTGAGGAGGGCTTCAGCCACACACGCTATCCACCGCGGGACTACGCTGGCCCTGGTGACCGAGGCCCTCGAGATTATGAGGGCCATGGCATGGAGAGAGGCCGAGGCCGTGGATTTGTAAGTTCCCTTCATCTTTGAATGTCTCCTTGGCTGTTTTTGTTATTGACATCTTCTTGCGATTTCCTATCCTAATGGCAGTAGACAGTAGACTGCGCTTGTCTGCTCTGTTCCTTCCTCCTAATGCTACGGATCATAATGTGGATGATGACAATAAATGATGATGATGACAGTCTATCATACATATTCCATGCACTACATGGTTTTTATAAAGGTAACGTAGCGCCAGTCAGTGGAAAGTCAGCTCATCACTAAACTCTAATGTGTGTGTGTGTGTGTGTGTGTGTGTGTGTGTGTGTGTGTGTCCTTGTCTCATTGTCACAGGACCTAGTTATAATCTTCTCCTCCATCTCGTTAGATATCAAAGAGTTTGTCTCAAGACTGCGAGTTTCAGTCCTGCCTGTTGTTTTTGCTTTCAGTTCCCCAGAGTCAGAGGAAGAGGTTGGAGCAGGGGAAATTACCCCGGCAACAACAGCAATGGAAACCCTGCCAACATAAATCCTCCAGTGCGGCCGCCTGACGAGGAGTGGGACCCTGAATACACCCCCAAGAGCAGGAAGTACTACCTGGTGAGTCTCTGCAGCTGCTAATTGATTTACTGGTGTATTTGAAATGGAGGACATGCAAAGCCGAAAAAGTAGTCCAGTGAACAACAGCTGTTCAGTCAGTGCAAGGCATAATCCAAAATATATACTCACTGCTTTATTAGGTACACCTTTCCAGTATTGAGCTGCACATTCTTTGGCCTTGAGAGCTGCTCTGCTGGATTGTGATTTGGTGACTGGGATCATTTGAGTACTTCTGCCGCTGCAGCCCATCTATGTCACGTGCATTCAGCGATGCTCGTTTGCACGTCTTGTGATTGCTTGAGTTATTGTTTTCTTCCTGTCAACTTAACTCACCAAGACCATTCTACTCTGGCATCAACATGACATTTTCATCCAGAGAACTGCAGCTCGCTGGATGTTTTCTGTTTTTCAGACCGTTCTCTGTAAAGAAAATAGTCTGTAGAGACAGTTGTGTGTAGCTTCTGAAATACTTGAACCACCAATAACCATTTAAATTAAAGTCACCTAAATCACTTTTATTCCTTATTCTGATGCTCAGTTTGAACTTCAACAGGTCGTTTTGACTATGTCTAAATGCCTAAGTGCATCGAGTTGCTGCAATGTGATTGGCTGACTAGATAAGTCTTAAAAAGAAGTTGAGGTTTGCCTAACAGAGTGAGTGCTATTCCTACAAAGTTGATTCTGTTGATCTGGATGTCTAATGTTTTTTATTTGTATTTCTTTTTAAGTTTCTGTTTTCAGTTCAGTTTGAGTGAGTTTTCTCAATCCTGTTCAGCTTTTATTGTTTTCAGCGGTTCAGTTGGTTTATAAATATGATGTAGGAGTAATTTGCCAGAAATTCACTGGAGTTTGTCTGAAAATGTTTTAGCTCCTTCAGAAAAGATTTCAGGTGCTTTGGACTTCTTTGATGTTTAAGCGTGTGTGAATGTTGTGGGATAAATAAATCACATCTTTACACTTTCAGCACGATGATCGCGATGGAGAGAAAACCTGGGTTGATAACCGGGGCAGAGGCCGCGGCTCCTTCCCCACTCGCCGAGGCCGCTTCGTGTACCGGAAGGGAGGCAGCAGCCCGAAGTGGACCCACGACATGTATCAGGGAGGAGAGGAGGGGGAGCTGGCAGACGACAGCCTGGAAGTCGACCATAAAGAAGCCAAGGGCGCCGGGGATGCGCCGAGCCTGAAGCAGTAAAGCTCTCGCTCCATCACCTACATGTAGAAGTCCTATCAGAGCGGTTAGAGTGGTGATGAAGGGGTTAAATTTCTGTTTTTTCCATCTTGCTTCATCTCATGTTTTAACGGTTAACATGTTCAGTGAGTTCTCTGTGTAGAAGCGAAAAGAGGAGCGCAACTGTTACTGTGATTGTTTTTTTTGTTTTGTTTAGGTGTTAAATGGTGAGTTTTGATTTGTGTTTATCGCATCGGCAAAGATTCGAAAAGGTAAAAAATGTTTCCGCGGACACGGCAAAAAAGAAAAGAGATTGTGCCTTAGGAAATAATACGGTCACGTGTCCGTCTGATATGTTTGAAGGTGAAAGCGTGTAGGAGAAATCTGATTAATCTGTTTTGGGGGTTTTTGTTTTGTTTTAAATGCATGAGACATTTGATTCATACGTTGCTCAACGGGACCAATCGGAGGCAGCTGCCCGGCTCGCTGATTCGCAGACGTGGCGGTCTCCCCGGGCGTTCGTCACTTCTGCTTTCTGAGCTTTTACACGCAGCTCATCAGCAGCTGCTGCATATTCTCGTTGGTTTGTGGATGTTTCCATAGTAAGACGGATGTGTTTTAGACAGAAAACGCGTGAACATTTTTCCGGCGCCGTCATATCTGTTTAGATAAGAGGCCATGTTTGTCTAGATTTTTAATTAAAATAAAATCAGTAGTGTTACATGACATAATCCATGTATAGAATTAGATCTGAAGCTTTGTAATCCTGCAGTTTTACTTGTGTAAAAAAAAAAACTAACTGAAGAGAAATGTGAAGATTTGTGGTGAAAAAAAAACAAACATGATGTGATGATTTTAAATGGAATCGACCTGAACTAGTTTGGCCACATCTCGCCGCGCCCTTCTCGTCCACGTTCGACTGTACATACTGCATGAATCAAACAGGACTGATTTTGTTCGGTCTGATGCTGAAATCTTTTTTACTGTTCAAGAGCTTTGAACTACCCGTCTTTTAATTTTCAATAAATTTTTCTTTGATTCGGGGCATTTTTGTGAGTGTTTTTTCTTTAGAAAAAGAAATAAATGCAGTTTCAGGGGTATATGTTATTACATGTGGGTTACAGATCACATTGAATATACAAAAACACAAAATCTTCACATAAAGTGTATTATCCTAGAGTTATTTATCGACATCTAAAAACATGTTAAGATTTTTGCATATTTTCATGCCTCTGTGCTAATAAATTCTTGTAATTGCTGTGCATTTAATTTAAAAACTATAAGTATTATTCACACGCAGCTAACTCTAAAAGCAGTACAGTAATCAATCTAAAAGAGACATCAATAATTAAAAACTGCAAAAAGTCTCAAATGACATTATAAAGCTTCTCATTTTTCATGAACACTTTTAACCCGTCCCACCCCCCGTCGTTATCGATGGTAACTAACAGCGCTTAAGACTTTAAATCTCATCTGATATATATATTTTTTGCGTAAATATGTTTATTATAATTTTAAAATTAGGATGCAAGATTTCTGAGCTCATTGAGTGCTGTTTATTTTTGCCTGGAAATTAGCACCACAGTATAATTTGCAGAGTAAATTGTTTTCAGCAACTAAACGAGAAGAATGAGGAGATGGAGCCATCTAGTGGTGACAGTGGGTCAGCTCCTGAAGAGTGAGGGTGAAAATACGGAACGCACCAAAGAGCAAATGTATTTTTTTGTGGTGACCCTTGTGACAAGGGAGCTCTCAGTGACAGATCTAGGACAGGACCAGAAGGAAAAGACCTGACAGTAGAAATCTTGTCTTAAAAATGTTTTTCAGTAAATGGAGACGAGGGCACAAAATACATCGATTTATAAGAGAGTTATGTGTACTAAAAAGAAAGTGACGTTTGTGGCTATGATTTGATACAAGTTTTGACAAAAAACAATAGTGTTGTGTTGCAGCTTTAACAGGTACTTTAGTAGGCTGTTTTTATAATATCTAATTAAACGGTTCCACCTTCTCTCTGCGCATCAGCCTCAGAGCAAGAAAATGTCTTTAAACTGCCATTAACACAAACATCCACAAAAAATTGCTTACTGTGTATTAGGATAAAAACCTGAAATGGATGGGAAATGCTCATAAAATCAGTAAAATACAATACAATTACAATACAATACAATTTTATTTATATAGCACATTTAAAAACCCGAAGGCACACCAAAGTGCTTCACAGTAATATGGAGAGTCAACATAGGTCAATAACAGGGTACAAATCGGGGACAAGCACAGACAGGATAGAGGCACTAACAGACCAGGAGAGTTAGATAAATACAAAATATGCTAAAAAGACAAAAACAGCAGTAAAATTAATAAAAAATAATACATTTAATAAAATCTAATAAAAGATTTAAAAGGGTATTAACTGGTCGGGAAAGCAAAGTCAAATAGATATGCTTTTAAGGAGTGGATAGAATCCAAGGCTCGAATAAGGTTGGGTGCAGCTGAAGCAAAGGCACGATCGCCTCTGGTCTTCAGTCTAAACTTAGGTTGGGCCAGGAGTAATTGACCTGATGATCTAAATGTACAATTGAGGAGGTCAGTGAGGTAGCTGGGCGCAATGTTATTCAGGATTTTAAAAGTGAGTAGCAAGATTTTAAACTCAATGCGATATTTGATTGGTAACCAGTGCAGATCAACAAGAGCCGGAGTAATAGGGTCAAATTTTCTAGTGCCAGTAAGAAGGCGAGCCGCAGCATTCTGAACGAGTTGCAGCCTTCGAAAAGAGAAGGCTTGGAGACCACAGTAGAGAGAATTACAATAATCTAACCTGGAGGTCACAAAAGCATGGATAAGTTTTTCCAGGTCCCTGTGTGCTATATAATGCTTAGCTTTAGAAATCTGGCGCAGTTGAAAAAAACCAGATTTAACTACAGATGATACTTGCTTATCGAGCTTAAAGGAGCTATCCAAATAGACACCCAGGTTACGCATAGAATCGGAGAGAGAGTTAGCAAGGGGCCCCAGCAGAGCAACAAGCTGGTCTCGAGGAATATGGCTGTCGAACACCATAACTTTAGTTTTTTTCTCATTTAAAACGAGAGAATTTTCTGCCGGCCAATCTTTAACCTCTCTCAGGCAATCGTACAGGGAGTTCAGTGGTGCTGCCAAATCATCAGTCAGTTGACAATAGATTTGAATGTCATCAACGTAAAAGGATGAAGAAAAGACCTAAATGAGTGCCAGTTGCCAGCTTGTGGAAAGCAGTTTTCCCCCCCATCCTAAAACAATCTCCAGTTCAGGCAGTGCCACTTAAAACATGACAGCTGACAGACACGGGACACAAACTCCCCTGCTGTAGCATAATCGACCTTTTCATGGCGCACGAGAGAAATTCAGCCAGCAAAAAACGAACGGATCTCCTGGGAGTTTACTGGGATCCACTCTGAGACCATCTGCATTGGTAAAACCTACAGTATTTTTGAGCTAAATGGTTTTATTCATACCTCCAAACAGACACGTCTTTACCAGAGAGAAGGTGCTGTTGCTCAAACTGGGAGGCAGGGAAAATGGGCTCGAAAGGTTCCGAATGTCTAAAGACGAGTTCTTTAGAGGTGTGTGAGAAGCTACGTTTTTAGAAGTGACTTTTGGCTGATTTTACTTATAGTTCATTCTCATTAGAATTAACCCAAAAGGATTATCTTCTGATTCATCTTATATATATGTGCATCTTATCCTAAAACACCAGCTATCAGTTCCCTTTAATGCAGTCCCAGGCAGATCAGCCCCCATTTCAACCTTGACCCATCTGATCTCAACAACTCGCATGATGGTGACCCGTAACGACCCATATGATTACTAGTGGGTCAAAAACCCTTGGGACTGTCTCTAAGTCTCCAATAGTCTCAATCAGTTGCTTTACAAGTGAAGAAGCGTCTTAGACTAAACATAAAACATCTTCACAAACCAAGAAGTCCAGATACCTTTAGCTTAAGGATGTAGTCTAACATGACCTGGGATTACTAAGAGCCTGCATAGACTCATCCTATAGTCATGTAAGAATTCAGAAGGTACCACTAAATATATCTATATCTATATATATGTAGTTAATGGGTTCTCAAGACCAACCTGCAGTACCATCATTGCCCACTACAGAGGCCACAGCCTAGCATGAAGCAACCCCAGAGCTGAAAAGCCTGGTAGCCTCTGTGGATTTTCTCCTTTATAATAATCATGAATAGACTGGATTTAATTGTATTTTTCTTACAATCATCTGTCTAGATAACTGAGTTTAAATCAATAAACTCTTCGATGTGTGTGTGCTGTTGGAGTGTTTTGGAGCATTTTAACAGCTTACTGTATGTGACTAATAGTGTGGATGCTGTGGGGTACTGACGATCCCAAAACTGATTGAAGCTTCATAATGTGTGGGAAAATCAGAGGCCTTCTTTTATACTGACTATGTTTTTTTAATCTCCCTTATTTCACATCATTGTGATATGGAAGCTTGTTTCTACCACATAAAGAAATGTTTTTTGCCATCATCATTTTGGGTTTTTATATCAGCTTTGACTTATTAACTTGAAATGTGCAGATAGAGCAAGATCAGCATATTCTTAACAATTTTTCTTCATTTATTCTTTCTTTCTTTTTAAAAATTGTTTATTCTTCATTTTGGAAAACAGTGACTATAAGACCATTTGTTTATTAAAAAGTGGTTTAGCTTTAATTATTCACATTCCAAAGATGAATACACATGAAGCCAACCTTCCCCCCAAAACAAACACTTGTGCATAAAATCTGTGATAGTCCACATTTATGGAGGCCCAAAGTGTCCGATTTTCCATAATAATAAATTAAAATAATGAAATAAAAAAATTTATATGAGGAGATACGCAACATGCAACCCCAAACCTCTAAAATAATTTGGTGTGCGTTTGTTTGTTTTTGTAATTTTTCATAATGCCACTACATCTTGACTGAGAAACACTTCAAGCATGAAAAAAAAGCTGATTAAAAATAACTTTTATGAATTTTTAAATGGTTAGCTTGCATACATATTTTCTCTCTTATTATTCATATTTATTTTTGTAATACTGCAATTTATTTAGGGACTTTAAAAATACTAGTATTTTGTTTTGAGTAGAGTGGATTTTCTTCTAAATTTCATTTTACATGATAAAAGTTAAGTTATTGCAAACTCTTTAATCGGTAAATAATATATATATATTTTTAATGTTGCGATTAGTTTGCGTCCATTTTTGTGCCTCCATACAAGGCACGTTTCTCTCCATTGGTTGTCCCTTACAGGTTTTTTAAAAGCTCAGTCCAAGTCTCTCTTAGTGGTAATGAACTCGTCCAATCGTCCCGGTCCCCGTAACCAGGATGTCCGGCTGCCCGTTCCTCCAGATCTCCCTGACGATTCGCTCCCTCTCCTCCAGCCGTCGAGCCTTCTCCAGCTCCTCGGCCGAGGTGAAAACGTTCAGGCTCCTCAGAGTGCCGTTAGACTGGCTGCTGCGGTCACTCAGAGGACCCACTGTCACTTTAGGGATCTCCGTATCCACCGCCCTCTCCTCTCCTACACTCTCCTCCTCTTCTTCCTCATCCTCCTCCTCTTCACTGGACTCCTTGAGCTGTCTCCTCGATGGAGACGGAGGTGGTTTTCTGTGGCGGCGAGCCCTGCAAGTGATGCCGGCCACCAGGAGGCACAGCGCCATGAAAAGCCCGAAGCAGACGCCCATCATGAAGTAGAGGGCAAAGCTCTCTGGATTGGCTGCACAAGAAGAGGGAAGAAAAACTAATTTACTGAAATAAAAGCATTAAAAAGTGGATTTATTAAGCTTTTCTTTATTTTCTGTCATCTCTATACTGTTAGAGTGGTGGATGCTCATATCAAAGACAGCGAAAGTTTCAAATACTCAGATCAGTGTATGTTAAAGTAAACCCTGTGAGCCAAAAACTCAGGTTTCAGACTCTAAACGCTTGATTTTCACCAGATTTTCTACTCTTGGCTCTTTGTGATGTCACTAAGAAGGGATATCCCTAATATGGCCGCCTCAGGCAGAGCGTTATTAAAGCAAACTATTATGGCTCTAGGTGTGAGCACAAAGGCCCCACCCACTGTTGTTAAACCCTTCTGTTTGCACGAGGCAGCCAATCAGAATGAAGTTTAAAGTATAAAGTTAAATAAAGATTTCTTTGAACTGTAACATGCAGAGTTACTCGTGTAGGAGCTTAGAAAGAAATATTCATGTACAACCTACGTAAAGTCATACAGTGTGGTGTAGCAAGCTGCCTGCGGTTTTATAGATTCATCTAATAACCCCTTGAGGTTGTCCCCAACTCCATGGTGGAAGCCACACTTAAAGCCCTGCTACGATTTTACCTTTGATGTGAGCGTAGGTCGCCATGCTGTTACTCAGCAGCTCCATATCTCTCTTAATTGGCTCCATCTTGGTTCACTGTGGGTTCAGACACGCACCATCTCCTTTTACACGTTTACCTCCTGGATAACCCGAGGCAGATCCTGTCAGAAAAACAAGAAAAACAAATGCTTTCAAAGTCATCTCAAAAGAAAAAAAAAAGTGTTTTAAGCCTAAAAAATGCATTGCTCCAAAGCACCACCCGTCATTCTTCTGATCTAAATGGGTGTCAGAGGTCAGGAGACATTGTCTTCCTCTGACGACACTCAAGCCAGGCAGAGAGGACGGCAGCGAGAGGTCTGCTGAGACCGATGGGGATGTTTATATTTATGAGAGGGGCGCCTTTCCGGCTACGCAGTTTTTATTTTTTTCCCACAGAAGAAGTGGCATGTCAGGTTTCACATGTTCACTACAAGAAACTCACACTCGTGATGGGAGACCGGCAGGAAGTGAAAAGGTCGGGTTCACAGAAATGTAGCAGTGAATTTCTAATTTCTGCCTCTTCCCCAAAACAATGGAGCTGAGAGGAGTTGTGTTTGTTTTGCACACAAGGTTTCACAGCAAGTTATTTCATTATTTAATTGGTATTTATATAAAGTAGGAGCATTTCTCTATTGTTAGCTTGTGATAATCTTTTGGCAGGTGTTAGATTTTAGTAAGTCATTAAACTGGATGTAATATTCTTTTGTTTATTATCTGTCATATGCACTCACTGGCCACTTCTTTAAGTACACTTGTTCAATGCTCTATAACATAAATATCTATTATATATCTAAATGGTCAAGATGACCTGCTTAAGTTCAAACTGAGCATCAAAATGTGGAATAATGGTGATGTGAGTGACTTGGAATGTGTCATCATTGTTGGTGCCAGACTGGTCTGAGTTTCTCAGAAAGTGAAAAAGAGAAAGTATGCAGTGAGCAGCAGCTCTGTGGGCCAAGATGTCTTGTTGATGTCTGAGGTCAAAGGAGGCCAGATTGTTTTGAGCTGATAGGAAGGCCACAGTAACTCAAATAACCATTTGTTACACCAACGTATGCAGAAGAGCATCTCTGAATGTTAAAGCAGTTGGGCTACAACAGCAGAAGACACAGATCCACCTTGGCTTGTATCATGGTGCAATGGTGGGGTGGATGTTTCCTTGACGCCTTCCCTTAGTGACCACAATGCACTCATCTTCTCATCGCTGCTTCCAGCAAGACAATGCACCATGTCACAAAACTCATGTTCCCTGTACTTGAATGACCTCCACAGTCAGCAGACTGTGATCCAACACAGCACCTCTGAGATGTGGTGGAACAGGAGATTCTCATCGTGGATGTGCAACCAACAAATCTACAGCAGCTGCGTGATGCTGTCATGTCAGTATGGACCAAAATCTCTGAGAATGTTTCCAGCACCTTATTGAATCTGTGCCACAAAGAATTAATTAAAGCGTACCGTGAGAACACAGAGTGCAAACGTGGAAAACACGCCGTTGTCCCTCTTTGCAATGCATTGAGGAAGTAAAGAAGCTGCTCACAGCTGCAAAAACTTAAAACTAATTGTTTTAATGGGGGTTAAACAGCCTCAGGGATGCCTACAAAAACATTAAGAAAAATGGCACCTAAATCTCCGGGAGAGACATTCTGTTTTTTGTTAGAGATGTTTAACAAGTATTTCACTGTTAGCAAATTTAATTATCATTCAAGAGAGTAATCACAGTTAAAAAAAAAAATAAAAAAAAAAATTATATATATATATATATATATATATATATATATATATATATATATATATATATATATATATATATATATTATCCTGAGGACAGCCACGGATGTCAGCACAAAACGACCTGACATTTCCCATACAAAAAAAAGCTTCTCAGAGCGACTGCATCCTTCTGTTATTTGGGTGAATCGACCCTTTAAGAGAGCGAGGGGCTGCATTAGACCGCGGTAGATGGATTTGCTCCGGACCCGTCTCGCAGACGGTCCCACGGTTACAGTAAGGATTGACGTAAACATGATGACTGATACTTCCCACCCCCTCACATTCCCTGTCACTACAAAAACAATTTCCATGGGAGCCGAATGTTTTTCTTTCTCCTGCTCTCTCTCTGGGGAGGACCAAACCGTGCCCCGTTCCAGGGTCGCTCTCCCACCCTGATCTTTATCCCAGCGACTTTTGGCAGCCCCAGTGTGCTCTCAAAGGCTTTCTTTAATTTGCTTTTGGGCAAATTAAAGTTGTAGTTGCTTTGTGGCTGGCTCGGGGTCCATTTACTCATGGGAACTGGTGGTTCCCAACCAACACTGCCTTCTGTTTGGGATTTAATCAAAGAAGAAGCGTGACTACTTCTGCACCCTCAATTTGCTGCCCCCAGACCTTAACAACATAAGTGAGCAATTTAGTTTTCAGCTTAGCTCGATTCAAACGATTAAAGACTGACTTTACACCCTGTACTTTTACACAGTTTATCAAGACTGCAGCATTTATCACAGTGCACATATCACCTCATTCTTTCTAAGTTTTTTTTGTTTGCATCAACATTCACGTGTCTGTGGGCAAAAATATCAAGCAAATCTTAGTTTAGGTTAACTTGAACTCCATCTGCACAGAGATTTAACATTGAGGTTACATTTTATTTATTTTTTAACTTAAATTTTAAATAAAAACGAGGAAACAGTTATAAAGTGTTATGCAACAGCAGGGAGCAATTTGTCCAGGGATTGGGGGAGGATTTCCTTCAGTGTCTGCTTAGTTATTTTTATTTTTCCGGTGGGGATAAAAGTTCTTTCCATAATCTGATTTTTATCATTGCATCTTGAAACAGTCCACAGCACAAACAACAATCCCAAACTGACTTTCACTATCAGCGCTGGGAAAGTGAGATGACACTGCAGGAGGCCAGATGATCCAGATCCACGCTGTTCCAACTTTTCACGATGCTGCCAAGCACCGCTTAGAACAACAGCTAGAATGAACTTAAATCTTTAAAAACGATCCTTTATTTTTTATCTATTTAAATTATTATTATATTTTTTTATTTTATTTTGTTTACCTATTCTTTTAAACTACCATTAATGGAATAAAAACAGAGAAAATCAAAGACTCACAAAATTAAAAATTTTTTATTAAAAAACATCCCCAGGCCTTCCTGCTCAGTTCATGTTTCTACTTTCAGGTCACACAGAATAAAATAGTTAATTTTGTAAATTTGGGGATTTGTAGGTTCTCAGTTGTCCAGGTTGTGTGAGTCTTGAGCACAGGGAGGAGCATCCCCATGGGGGTGGTCCTGAGGGTTGTTGATCATGTGAGCAAATTTGTGACAAAAGGCGTGGGTCATTACGATCAGACGTTTCAGCTCTTGAGACTAAATGTCTTCACAAACTTAAAAAAGTCCATCTGGTCATTCTAAGAGTCAGAGAGGAGGATTATCCAGGGTATGTACAACAGGCTGTCGATTACAGCTTGCATTCTATAAGCCAGCGAGCTTGAGGTTTCATAGTCAAATTCACAATATGTGGTCGTTTCACCAGTCACTATGTTAACGACTGCAAAAACTTATAGGCTTTTTGTTAGGTCCATCTTTTGGAAGTAACCATGAGAAGACTAAAGGAAAGCTGCCAAAACTCACTTAATTATATATTGAATATGACCTGAAGTGAGTGATTGAGGCCATAAACTTAGTGTTTACAAAGGGCTGTTCTCTGATAGAACTAGAAGTCTTTTTCCAACCACACATTTCCCCCCTGGTGGTCATGAAAAAGAATGCAGTTTTAAGGCACTTTAGTGTTAGCATCACCTTTTAAACCTTCATAGTTTCAACTGTCTGTTTGCTAATCAACACACATCGCATTTGTTCACTTGGCTAGGGTTTTGCAATTTATGTATGAGGTTATTTTTAGGGCAGAGACCTTTTATCTCAACTTCACTTTAATTACAATTTTTTCTTTTTTTCAGTGCAGCATTCAGACTTTGTACGTTTTTTGGAAAAAAGTGCCCTCCATGAACTTTCTCATTTGTTTTAAGAAGGCGACGTTTTTAATACTTAATTATAAGGAGAAATGACACAAAGAGGCGCCTCTTTTTCTGTTTTCTCGATTACAGAATGAAATCGTGTATAAATATTTTTTTCTTCATGGCTTCAGGACTGGCAGTTTGTGGTGAGCTCGAAGCACCACACAAATACCAGAGGGAGGGACACATTTTGTGCAGCCGCAGTCTCGGGCAGACAGATTTAACACCTAACATTTCCAGACGAGTCCAACAACCTCCACGCAAGCATAGCCCGGCAGCTGTTTATGTGAAACCCTGTAAATGCACTCCCGCTCGGCGCTTCCTGCTTAGATAATCCTGTTTAAGTCCAATGAGGAAACTTGAAACTGCTGAAAAAAATCACTTTTTAACAGTAGTCAAAAAAATGAGAAATGAGGTGGAGCTGCTGTCAAAAACATTTAAAGAGAGTGAGATTAAGACTGATGGAAAATACATGTGACAGACTGGGTGACAACATACTCACTGTGCTATAATTTTGGGCATGTTGCAGCTCCTCAGCTTGTAAAAACCTTTAATTGTCTGTGGTGTTGTAAAAAAAAACAGGAGGCCATGCTAATAAACTACTGAGTTGCATGACAGTAGAGCTTTATATTTGTTAAGGGGTGTAATAAAATTTAAAAAATCTTTTTTCCCAGCAAAGATAAAGTTAAATAAAAGTCACTCACCTCAGTCATGCACAGGTTGACAGATTTAAAACTTCCGTATGCAAAACAAAGAATTCAGATCCACGTTTGGAGCCAGTCACTTAGATAAGACTCCCATCTTCTCTCGGGCAGAAAAGCAGCAGCGAGAGGTCGTGGGTCACTCGGCATACGTGACAGCTGAGCAGACGCTGCTGGACTGAAGAGCGAGCAGCTCTCCACTGTGATTCACTCCCTCTCATCCCTCAGAGGGAGGAGGACCAGCCAGTAGTGGTCCACACTTGTGTTTTGGAGGAGGTCTTTCCTTTTCCTGAGAGAAGTGAAAGCCATGCATGCTTCACTGCCATCGAACTCCAAAATAAAAATTCCACACTGCTCAAGTCTTTTATTTTAGCTATTCTATCCTCTCCAGGTATGACCCACACACTCCTGACCAGAGGGAGGTGATCTCTCTCCTGCTGGATGCCCAACACTGAGGTCTGTTCACAGTTAAGCCAGGAGGGTGGAACAGGAAATAGCTAGGTGGCAGCTGTGGGCATGGGGCCACGCTGCTGTGGGGGCTCCTGGATTAATTGAGCTCTTTGTGTTTTAATCTGAGCCTGGAGGGGAGTAAAAAGAGCTCAGAGTGAGGTTTGTGGAGCAGGAGAGGAGACCGATGAATAGATTGATACTTCATGGGGAAATCTGACTTGGACTTTACAAAGCTGGAAATTTCCACACGACACCAGGAGATACAAATTTTAAAACCTATCAAACAACCGAAACAGGAGGTGCTCATAGTTGATTTGAGCTACACTGCAGTGTCACACAGCTGACACATTGTTAATATAACTGATCAAAAGAGCAAAATAGTTCTTAAACCAGTCCAGTTTGCACCTTTGAACTCAGTCCAGCAGTCCAGAACACCCAATCAACATTACATGCCAGGTTATTGTGCTTTAAGGAAACTATATGGTCACTAAGATTTTTGTAGGGCTGCACTTGAGTAATTGAATAACCATGGGACTGTGGTCGTCAATGTGTGTGTCAAAAATAATCTCCTCTGTCTTTTATTACATTTAAAAACTCATTTCACTTTCGCTGCTTGATTTGAGCAAAACCATACAGGCTTGGAGACCCTTGGAAACCACTGGTTGCTAGGGACAAATAAGGATTCCACAACTGGTTGGCAATTGATTGCCTACAGTTGTTAGGTCAAATGGAAATTCTCCTTGCGTCAGGTTGCTAGCAGTTTCATGGAAGACACCAACTCATCTGTAACCACTCACCAGCTACTTGCAGAGCAGCAGTGAAACTTGAAAAGGTGCGATGCAAACCAGAAATGGAGAACGTTAACCTTCAAAATAAAAGTAAAGCACTATTTTGCTCTGAAGGTCAAGTTTGTGTTGCACTTTTCCAAGTTTCATTACAACTCTGTGAATGTTTGCAGACAAGTTGGCATCTTCCATACAAACTACAGGCAACCACAGCAATCTACAAGCAACAAAACGCAATCACAGGCAGGTCTTTGGTTCAGCACCCTGTTGGCAACCATTTTCAAATCAACTAATACTCAACCACTGGTCTGGGGAATACACACATTTCTTCTTAGCGACTGGAGACTGCAAGGGGGTTGCCAACTGGTCTATAGGCCTGTGTGACTGAGAGCTTTGTCAAAAGGCAAGGCAAGGCAAGTTTATTTGTATAGCACAATTCAACAACAAGGTGATTCAAAGTGCTTTACAGAGACATTAGAAACAAGAACAAATAAAAAGCATGATTTAAAATTGAATAAAACAAGCAAATTAACTAACTAATTAACAAACAAACAAACAAACAAACAAACAACAGTATATAAAATCAAAACAGATAAAATCAGAACAGTAGATAAAATCAGTAGTTAAATGTAAGTTTTGAAATTTAAGCTTAAAGTGTGGATTTGGTGCTTTATTCAAATGCAGCTGAGAACAGGTGAGTCTTCAACCTGGATTTAAATAAACTGAGTGTTTCAGCTGATCTGAGGCTTTCTGGGAGTTTGTTCCAGATATAAGGAGCATAAAAGCTGAATGCAGCTTCTCCGTGTCTGGTTCTGACTCTGGGAACTGATAAAAGACCGGATCCAGATGACCTGAGGGATCTGGATGGTTCATACTGGGTCAGCAGGTCACTGATGTATTTTGGTCCTAAACCATTCAGAGCTTTATAGGCCAGCATCAGAACTTTAAAGTCTATCCTCTGACGGACAGGCAGCCAGTGTAAGGACCTCAGAGCTGGACTGATGTGGTCCACTTTTTTGGTCTTAGTGAGGACTCGAGCAGCAGAGTTCTGAATGAGCTGTAGTTGTCTGACTGATTTTTTAGGTAGACCTGTAAAGATGCTGTTACAGTAATCAAGCCTACTAAAGATGAATGCATGGACTAATATAGGTAAGTCTATATTTTTCCATTCAATTCAACTGAAGAAACTAAATTCATTTAAGTGAACTGAAGTGAACCTGACTCTGTGGCCTGCTGGGAGTGAATTTAAACCTCAGCCGAAGCCAAAATATGAATAATTCCACAGAACTGGATATGAGCGCATTCATCATTTTAACAGTATGTGCGACAGAAAATAACAAAAACCAACACAGCCCCCCTTTAATTTCTAAAAGTACGAGCATATAATTCTACAGACTGACTACAGCGATGAAAGCAGGGCTTGTCTTTCTTATTTATACTGGTGCTTTTTCCTGTAACACTAACCCAGACTCTTAAGTATTGCAAAAGACCTGTTTATGCGGTTGTAAAGTACTATTCTGAGTCTAGTGAGCGTTGATGTGGCACTCGCTGGTGTTTTTAGCACAGCAATAAGCGGTTATTATGTGGTTTCTGTCATTCAAACACTCAGGGTTGGTCAAGAGAAAAATATGTCCCTAAAATCACTCTGAGGCTAAAGCCCAAAACAATGATCCAACTGCTGAGGGACATTCCTGCGTGCATATTCCTCCTAATTTAATGCACTCAGTAACGGCTGGTGAACCTCCACCCTTTTTGTCCACAGTGCGGGGTTTATCTGCTCCAGCTGCCTGTGTTATGTCAGGCCTGTCCTCTTCCTGATGCTGTGTAGGAATAACATAGCACTTTGCAAATTCCCCAGATTCCCGATCGCAACTGCGCACGGGTAGAACACCAAGCAAAACACTACCTTCCTTTCACCCGCCACGCTTGTCTCCACTGGCTAAAAAACAAGAGTGGATGTCACTGTTGTGACTGAGAGCGACTTGCTCGCTGATGCAGAGATGTTTGTGGAGCTGTGGAAACAGGTCAGCTTGTTTTTCCCCACCAGTGACTAATGTTTTCCTGCATACAGGCAGTGATTAACTTAGGGCTGTTTTTTTTTAAACACACAGAAAGATGGGCTTTGTGATGCTCACCATTTACCAGTAAATACACTGGCCCTCACACCACAACCGCATTCAGTGTCAGCTGCAATATGAGCCATTCAATTCTCATAAAACTGAGCTGGAGCAGAGAGATTAACTTTGGGAATAATTTGGTAAGAAAAGACAAGTCCCTCAAAGTATTTTTACAACTAAATTAAAATGATAACGTACTGAAAGACAGACAAAAGAGATCTTTAATAATGCGATAGCACAAAAGTTAGGATAGTTAATTAAGTTGCTGGCTGGAGGGAGCTATTAGAGAGCGACACATCAAAAGGCCCAGAATGACAGTGAGGAGCTTAATAAGTTGAGTCATTTTGTTGTGGGGAGCAAACCACAACTGTGGGAGAAGTTAACTAATGCTTAAATCCCGCTAAAGGGAAACCTACTTAAAAAAAAGAAACATGGGCCAAAATAAACAAGCTGCAACCTCTGGCGGTGGAAAAATTGAGCCTGTAGTTGCTCCAAAAGCGAGTCAAATCTCATAAGACCCCCAAGTTTAAATTTCGTCCTTTATAACAACAGTGTGGAGGTGACTTTTGTTTTTAGCTGATCCGTCTGGTGAGTAAAAAGCATGGCTGCTTACATTGACAGGTGTACCTCACTGGTGTTATAATAGCAAAAAATGTAGGTGTCCAGATTCTGCAAATGAGGTGTAGAAAATACTATAAAAATTAGGAGAAATGTATGATAAATGTATTTTTGCTATTTAGTACAAATATGAGGTGCAGCACCTCAAAAGGCACAAAAAGTGACTGCTTTAGGGTATTCTCTATGTTTAAGAGATAAGACTCTTCACTGTTTCTAAGTCAGCAAAATATGAGAGAAGCTGTGGCGTCGTTTAAGTTAAACCCTTTGTGCAAAAGAGGATCTATCATTTAGTTGTTATAATTATATTGAAAAAGATTTCACTTTATTCTCAGATGGATTTTTTTTTAGCATTTTCATCATATCTCATTTAAAAATCCCCCTAAATAGTTTGTCTTTTTTTTTTTTTTATCTCAACCAAAGAGCTTCTTTGAGTTGATACAAGGAAGATGCATCAATTAATCCAAGAAATAATTCGCAATGTATTAAAAAGAATTGTTACAGTGTTTACATAGGGAAACAAATCAATCTGTGGAGTTTTATTTTTAAACATTTAAACAATTTACTGATATCAGCCTCCAAATACTCCAGCCTTTCGAGTTTGTGATCCTTACAAGAAATCAAACCCAGATTGTGGCCTTTCATCCCAGGTTCCAAGCTGTTCAGTTTTTATAGCACTAAAGACAGTTTCCAGTATTTTACAATGAAAAGGAGAACTGTAACTATATCTTACTGTACCTGAGATCTCTCTCCCTGTTCTTGACCCTGGAGTCACTTTGTGGGCCCTCAGGATGTAAACTACTGGTCTAGACTGGTGTTTGTCCTCTAATCTCTGAACCTTACACAAGCAGCGTCTTTTCCAAATGTAAAAAAAAAAAAAAGTCATTTTGTTTTCTTGGCAAACTCTTTCCTGCCTCCGCCTTCACTGCCGAAGTTCCGGACGCGGTGAATCTTGGCCAGCTGGCTCTCTATGGTCTTCATTATGTCCATATGGTCGGGGATGTGGACATAGCGGATGTTCCTGCCAGTGATGAATAGGTCCTGCAGCTGTGTGAGCTGACCCAGCCGGTCCCGGTACAACACGTCCTCTAGCCGTACGTTCATGAAGGCATCTACGTTGACCACGCGTCCACGTGCCGTGCTCTCGTTCCTCAGGTCCACCGTGGTCACCTCTCCCTGAAGGCCCTGCAGGAGGATCACCATGCTGTTCTCTGTGATCGTTCGCTCCCGAATAGAGTTCACCACCTCAACCGGCCCCACGCCGGATGGCTGAGACTCAGCTCCCTTGGGCTCCATAGTAACCTGCAGAAAAGCAGAAGATTGATAACTCTGGATTAGAGTCTGTCATGCAGTGTTGGTACCTGAGACGTGTTTCTGTGGTTTACTGATTCTGACCTTGAAGCAATAAAGCAAAAATTAGCAAAACCTTGCACACTTTGTGGACAGAACATTAGAATCAGAAAATGAGAAAACACAGGAACATGTCAAATAGAAAATGTCCTGCACAGCTTAAATGCGATTGATCTCATCTGTCACAAACCAATCCTGCATTTAATAAACGTCAGACGACTAAGAGGCTGTGGTCAAATCGTTAAAAAAGATTTCCCTCCCTCCATCTTTTCTTAATCACTTTTCTGATTGAAAATAAGGTAAAGGAAGAAGAATTTCTGAGGACTTAGGAAAAGAGCACCATGCCCAGACAATGTGACTGCATCAACGTTAGATCCTCTTAGGCTGTTAATGGGGCTCTACTGAAACTGCAATGTAGGGACCAAAAAGGCTGTCTTAGATACTTTCTTACTGCGTTTTTTTAATGGAGCTCACAAAAAACACACATAAAAAGAATGAAGTGAATTAAATGTTTCCAGTCTTATTTTCTTTATCTGCTGGAGAGATGATCCAATGTAACTCTGGAAACTGTTACAAGTTCTGAGGAAAAAACAAAATAATTTTATTCCACTGTCACTTATTAAAAATCAGGGGATCAATACCAGCTGACTTGACGTAAAGTCAATTAATGATAATCCTAATTGCCAAAACAACTACTTCTTCTCCTCCTTTTTTCAGCAGCTCACTGAAGGTTGCTAATCCGCCTTCATCTCATCCTAACCCTAACGTCCTCTGTCACCACCAACCATCTGCATGTCCTCCTTCACTACATGAATCCTTTGAGGTCTTCATATTCAGCATCCTTTCTGCACATATCCAAACCACGCCAGCCTCCTCCTGCCTCACTGTCACATCAGCATCTCATTCAGACACACGTAGTCTGTTTTGCATCTCGTGACTATCATATCCCGTAACCGCATTTTCTTTATTGGTCCAAAAAACACTTTCATATTTGGCTTTCAAAGTAACCCCCGTATATGCACATTACAGCCGAATATAAATGGTAATACAGAAGATATAGTGTCATATACTGCAGTGTCATCTTAGCTTTAACTAAACCTACAGAAAACATAAAAACACGTTTAAAATGACACTCAAATTTGTATCTGAAAGCACAAAGTTAGTCTTCTCTGTTAGCTTTTCTTTTTTTAGCGTTTCCTTAGCTTTAGCAGCGACTAAATAAAGCTCCAAAATGCGTAAAACATGACTGTAAATCAAAGCTTCTCCCTCCGCTGATGTCTGTAACATTTACCTGAATTATTTAAACACAGGTTTCATGTAGAAGCGAAACACCGACCTGCTGAAACCTCTCAAAACATCTCAACACGTTCGTTTTCCCGCAGAAACCCGACAGAGGAGCAGCGACGTGATGACGTTTCACCGTCGTCTTTGCGTCAACCGTTTAAAAAAAATAAAAACTTTATTCACAACCAGCTTTAATACAATACAATCCAGGACATAAATGAGGAACCCGAGAACAGGACGTCATCACAGCAACATTATTTTTCACATATATGCTGGATTTCAAAGCTGCAAAGTATATATTAAGATTAACAAATTTGCTCTCTGGAGTGTAAAATTTTATTAATTAAGCGAAAATTCTACTGACAGATTTAGAACATCATAAAACACCCAATATGAAACCACACAAAAGAAATACATTAAAAATGTTAATCTTATATGTGTTTAAATTGGTGTTTTTGTTTGTTTTGTTTTTGGATAAATTCAAGTTATACATAAAATCTTCTAAACTACTTAAAGGAAATAAACCAGAAAAATCATACGATATTCTAAACTGTTTTTCCCACCATTGCCATTGTATTGTATGCATGTATGACTCTTTTATTTAATAGTACACCTTGTTGAAAGGATGATGCTAAATGATCTTATGCCTACATGAACGTTTATACTCACTGCTCTGTTCCCTTTTGTACCTTATTGGATTCATACAGTACTAGTTGTCATATTTAAAATATAAGTATTAAAATTAATTAATTAATTGATTAAAAGCCGGATAAACAAAGAGCAAAGGCTCCGAATCAAAGAAACCTTCATGAGATTGTTCTTTTCTTACAAAGCGAAGACAACAGCACCCCCTACAGGTTGCTGCTGCAGAAACGAAATCGTCTCAATGAACATTTATTTTCATTATCCAAATATTAATTTATAGCTTATTTAAATTAGTACGTGTCCAGTTAGATGTCGTATTTAAAAATATGATCAATCCTTTTCATTTAATTTCTTCCCTGCCTCACAGCAACATTTGCAACTCATTTTGTTTTACAGCATGTAAACACGAGCCAGCCTAATCATGTAAATATAAATAAATACTTTTATTTAACATTAAATTGTTAAAAAGAAAATGAAACCTCAAACACAGCAGGTGTTACCGTTTAACATCCAAGTCAGTTCAGCTGCAATTTAAACATAGAAAATAGTTTCTGTCTATTGTAACTGTGTTATAATGTTGAGTTCTTGCATCTGTTTCACTGAATACTGCATATTTCAGATTAAAGTTCACAGTGGAGATTAACCATCCGATCATCAAACAACCACAGACTGGATAAATGAGTCAGAGGTCGTCCATCATGGCCAGGAGCTCTTCTCCCTTGTTGTTGCTGGGTTTTTCGGGTTTCTCTTCTTCTTCTTCTTCTTCAAACTGTCCGGCGATGCGAGCCAACTCCGATGCCGCCTGCTCATCCTGAACCAAAAACTTGGATTAAGTTCATCACAGATGTTTTAAGAGAGACATGGCAGTCATAACAACAGTCCAGAGTGTAGCCAGACACTCACACTAACACACTTTTTTGCCAGATTTTCTGTTTATATTGTTAGGTTTGTTCACGTGCTCAGCAGTTGCCTTTTTTTTTTTTAAGTCAAACTAAACTGTTTTCTTGACTGTGGTTTAGTTTTAGTTCACTGAAATACCCCAGAAGAGTCTGCATGATCATACCTGCATTGCTTGAATATTTATCACTCCATACAAGGACTCCTCAGCACTAGCTGATGCTCCTCTGTGAAACAAGATAAAAAGGCCTTGATGAGGAAATTTATGTTAATGTAACAACAGGGAATTAAAATAGAAAAGAAGAACACCCACGCTTCCGCCTCCTCTTTGTCTGTGTTGAACAGGTTGATTCGAAAACCTGATTCGTCTTTGGGCTTGTTCTCTGCCTTCATGCTGCCCATCAGACGAGCCAGCAGGTTCAGCTCCTCCTTCGCCAGCGGGTTGGGAGAGCCGTCTGCCTGCAGCACGATGGAGGTGCAGAGGCAGGTTATAACAGAGCTGTGAAAATAGTATTTGCCCCTTTTCTGATCTTTTTCTATTTATTATAGTTATATGTTTCAGGTCATCAAACAAATTCTAATAATAAAGAAAGAGAACCAGACTAAATACAAGATGCAGTTTTTAAATTATATAATTTATTAATGGAAAAACGTTCTCCAATGCTACCTGGCCCTCTGAAAACTCCCCCTAAACCCAATAACTGGTTGCACTGCTGTTGGCAGCAAGAACTACAATCAAGCGTTTGATTGAAAATGAGTCTTTCACATCCCTGTGGAGGAATTTTGGCCCAATCTTCCTTACAGAGATGTTTTTAATTCAGCCAAACTGGAGGGTTTTTAAGAAAGAACAGCCTGTTTAAGGTTCAGGGCAAGAAATGATAGCTGGAGATTCTCCTTCAGGTTTCTTTTAGTAGAAATCAGAATTCATGGTTCCACCAGTTTTTGCAAATCGTCCAGCAAACCTGCGTCAGACCATCACGCTGCCACCACCATGTCTGACTGTTGGCATGATGTTCCTTTTAATAAAATGCTGTTAGTTTTACACCAGATGTAACGGCATGCAAAGCTTAAAAAAATTCCAGCTTCTTTCTCATTATCAAGATGTTTTTGGCAAATGTGAGATGAGCCTGCGTATTCTTTTTGGTCAGTGGTGTTTTTCTCTCATGGATGCCACTTTGGTCCACTCTGAAACAAGTGAGCCCTGCAGTTCTTTAGATGTTGTTCTGGAGTCTTTTGCAACTAATGCGCTCCTGGGAAGCTTCACAACTGTTCCAAGTTTTCTCTATTTGTGGATAATGGTTCAGGAAAGGGAGGGGTGCAGTGGCAGCACAAGAGTTACTACAAGTTTTCAAACATTATTAATGTTAATATTGACTAATTAAACATTACACTGTCTAACCAGCCGTTTAATGTTGATATGGTGATAATATAAGCAGACACAAACATTCACAGTTACTGAGAAACACTATTATTATTATTTTTGACACTTCATTAATCTGATTACCATCTTCTCTTTGTACAGCAGTAGCGCTGGGGTGTGGTTTTCTGGCTCAGCTGTAGAAGCCAGGAAACCACAGTAGTGTGGTTTGGGCACACCTGTCTTACACACCCAATTAAGCTCTTCTCTTATAGAAGGTGTGAGGCTGTAGAGACACACACAATGGTGAGCCTACACCAGTGAGATGTTTTGAACAGCGGGGCAAGTGAGGTGAGTTTAAGTGTATATGCAAAAAGTGTGTCAATAAAGAGCTGCGTGTGCAAACCACAGGGAACGGGCCACTGCCATAACAGCATTAACGGCTTTTACTATGCATCAATGTCCAGGCAAGCAGGAATTTCTGGGGCTAATATACGAAGCCAACACAGAAGTACAAAACAAACTAAAGTTCCTTGAGTGGCCACTTGAGGCAAGCTGCAAAAATGAGTGAATCCCCGCAGACCTCCATTACAAAATATCCAAATTTACAGAATTTAAATGCATGTTCACAGCCTGGTATAAAAAGTGATTTGGAGGCACATGGACAGTTTCCCACTCTATAACAAATGTATGTTGGGTTCCTTTGGCGTAAGAAATATCTAAAAATATGTTAATATATCAAGCATATGTCTGTTTTTTTGGGTTTATTGCTGCAGCTAGATAACCTTAGCTAACTCGGTGCCCTACCATCTGATTCAAAAATTGTCACTTCTGGCTCCAAACAAACTAGGAAGCATCAGGTTAGTGGAGTGAGTGTGAAAGTGGTGCAACATTTTGAGCCCCTTGGTGCCACCTGAGCATCCTTTAAACACCACTATCAAAGGTAAATATCACCTTGTAGGAAAAAAGCTCCATATGATATGATTTGCTATTATTGCTTAAACATAATTTCATGGTTTCACAACAGCAAGAGCTCAGGTGTAGTTCAGGACAATATTAAGTTATATATATATATATATATATCACCAACCATAACTGTAAAATGAAATCTGTGACCTCCCTGACATGTTATTACCTTTACAGAGGGAGCCCTGGACGTGTGTGTCTCCTCTGGATGATCCACAGTGTACCTTTAAGTCATGAAACGCAGCAGTGTCACCCACAGGTTCAGTGTGTGTGTTCACCATGTAGTGTCCAGCAGCATATTTACATACATGTTCATGCCGAGTCTGATCACTCTGTTTCCATGCAGCTCGAAAGACCCCTCTCTGATGGAGCTGGTGTAACTCCCTCCAGAGGGGAACTCCCTTCGTCTCACTTCTCTGCCGCGACAGTCAAATATCCTTTGAAAACAGGAAACAGATGGCGACACTCTGGATTGTGGACACATTTTTTTTAAAGAAAATTGAAAGTTGGGATTGGTCAGCCTTTTGGCGGTGACTTCAGAGTTGCATCAGACCACCAGGCCACAGAGTGGCCACATCTAGTGCCGTTAATGAAGTGGCAGATGTTAAACCAGGTTCAGTGTATAAACATTGACAGTAGAAATTAATTCTGCTTATAATGTCTAAACTTGAATTAGAAGCAAATATGTGATAAAGACACTGAGAATCTGACAAACAATGGCAGACTCATTAATGACAGACATTAATAAAGTACTCGCATGTGTATTAGTTTGCATGAATGATGCTTACAGCACATGCTTTTAATCAGCACTTATGTAAAAATATCACATTGTAGAAGTAAAGGGATACGTGGTACAGAGGCAGGAGGTGCTTTTCTGATTCAACAAAGACAAACAAAGGTTAAATTTTGGTCTTTTCTGTGCTTGTTTTTCATTGTAAACAAAATAATCCAAAGAAATTAGTGAAAGACTGATGAAATGACTGCTTTGAATTCTTTTGATATGGTCACTTTGGCACACTTAAGACACATATGGGCCAAAGCACAGATCTGATACCGTTGTGGATGTTGTGGATATATTTGAAACAGGCAGTATGTGCAAAAATCCCCCAGAAATCTTACAACTGAAGAATGCATGTATACAAAATGTATTTCTGCTTAAAGGGGGCACATCTGAGCGCTTACTATCAGGGGAAGGATAAATGCGCTGGCGCTGCTGCATAGCTGACCTTTATTACTTTGCATAAAATGCTCTATTACATTGACAGTGACA